AGAGGAAACGGTTTACTATCAGAAGGGATTTTGTAGAGATTTTAGTCATTTCAATAGTTGCCATCATGAGTCAATTGCTTGCTCGCAAGACCAGTAGGTTCTGGGTTTGAATCCCATGAGGTGAGGTCGTGGATACGCAGTGCTGAGGGGTCCTACAATAAGATCAAACGGCCATCTAGTGCTTCCAGGTTTTCCATACTGGTCTAGCTTCGATTGACTCATGATCTTAACTATTGAAACTGTTTATCATAAATGAAATACTAAATTCTCTACAGTATTATTATATCAACTAGTATCAAATTAGCTAAGTGATTAGTACAGGTAAACCAATTAAACAAAAGCTAAGAATATTAAATAATCTTTAACTTTGAAAAAGATAGATTCTTAGTGAATAACATGTGTGATCAGTAGTAAATTTTGTTGTTTAAAATAGTTAAATATACAACACGATAATGGAACAATGTCACATTACCGATAATAATGTCGTTAACCAAGTTTTTAAAAAAAATTAAAGAATTTACAATAAAATATCACTAAGTAGTAATCATGGTACTTTTAATTGTGTAACTCACATTCTCTGCCACATAATACACTTCTAACCACCTAAGGTAGAATTATGACTATTGAATTAATGGATATATATGATTTAATCAACTACTTATAGATAGCATCATTATGATAACTGTATTAACATGAACTTATATTCTGATAACCGAATATAAGCAATACAATTAGCCAACGTTGACTAAATGATGATTTAATACTTAGTTATTTCTTATCCAAAAGAGTATTCTTTCAAAATCTATGATGATGATATAAACATAACAAGTATAAATATATTGCTTACAAAGAAAATTGGAGTGTTATTAGTTAAAACTCTTGTTTAAAACCGTTGTTTAGCAACTGATTAGATGCCTTAGCTTTATTTCTTTTTTTTAAAAAATTAAGTATGTGATCATAAACTTTATCGACTAGTTTAACAGAAGTTAATATTTAGCACCATATACTGATATTTCTTTCGCTTATCATATGATTAGTATACTATTGTTTCATTGTCTAAAGCTTTGTGTCTACATTCAATTGGATGAATGTACATAGGATGATTATTACTTATTAACTAAATAGTAGATTACATTTCACATGTAATCATTATCAATAATGAATGTTTCGTCGCTTTTTTAGATAATATGCATCATTTGTATACATGACAAAACTTCCTTTATCTTATTCTAATTTATTGATATATCAAACTAATGTTATCCAACTCACATTGACGTTTATTCCTTAACTTGACAATAATGATGACAATGGGATAATAGATAGATATATAATTTGTTAAAGATTATTTTCCATTTTATGTGACTATTTCCTATGAATGTCAATATCATTAGTCACACATGTCCTTGCTCTATACATGAAATAAATTGATTTTGGATTGTTACGTGATATAACTTCCATTATCTAAATAATCTAACCTTATATGAATTATGCACAAACGTAGATTGAATTGTAATTTTGACAAATAGTCAATCAAATGGAATATTTTTTGTCATATGTGGGTTTGCGAAGAAATTAATCTTGAAAACAGGAATGGAATTCATTCGAAATATAAGAATTCTATTATAAGACACAAATACTGAGTCTTTAAACCATGATGAAACTATTATTAGTAGTATTAGAAATAAAAAATTAGTGTAAAATAGAATCTCTTTGAAATGTGACAGAACAGATGTTTGATCAATCTCGAGTGTTCAATTGAAACACGTTTTTGAAATATTAATCTCGGTTGTTATTTACTCAGTGATGTCACCTTTGTCGCTGGTGATCTTCAATGTATTTGAAAATACAAGTTAAATAATAAAAACTTAGTTATTGTTGGTTTTCGTATTGGAGATGTCATGTTTGCTTACCGAATAACACTGCTACTGATAGGTTGATTTATTACGTAAATAAATTTTATTTTTATTTACATCAAAATCTATCATGATATCTCTGTTAATGCATATCCTAATAATTCATACATTCTTATAAGCGAAAAAAAAAATAACAAAAATTTCAAATAATAACAACTGGAGCGTTCAATATCATACATTATCTGACCGAAGACTCTCTTTGAGCATTTCTATTAGTTAACAATTGACATTATTGTTTCGATTGATGTGGATGAGCTCAAAGTTTAGCTTTACTAATTTTATGTATTAAATTCTTGTTTGGCAGTCTATAAGTTTTTCAAATGTCAAGAACGACGTATTTGTATCACCACTATTTTTCAGAGCAGATTAGATTCGTCCTATTTAGGGCTCGTCAGCATCCCAGAGTCCCAGAGTGATCATCAACTTTGGGATACAGACACATCCGGTTGACAAGTCTCGAACTGGATGAAACGCGCGTCCTGGATTCCACTACTAGTCACCATCTATCTTTGCCTATAATCTCTTTTTTTTAATGGTAATTTATAGTATGAAACAAAACAGGAATGTCTGAATACTCGATAAGTCAAAGTTGTAGTTCTCATTAATTTATGAGTTTTTCCTAGTCGTATTACTTTTTCCCTTACAAACCATTGTTCATAGTTATTTATCAGGTGTACAAAATCGTTGAAGTATTCTACCTTTCCTACTGATATTCTCTTTCTCTTAAGTTGTTTTAATAAAAAAAAATCGTCTGTTTATAAAATAATGTTTTTCTTGAAACTGAAAAAAGAATCTAGTTGAATTTCAATAATTTTCATAAATGAATTTGTGAACTCATATTAAGGTAGATTACATAAGAAATAGGGCATAAATGATGTTAATTCATAATCACTTTTACTTATCAACTATACAATGGATATCAAGTTCAACCATATTATTTTTAATTTTTTAATATTTTTTCGATGTTTAAAATAAAACCTACTGAGCAACTATGATTTGTATCTGCAGTATTTGAATTCATAAATCAAAGTCAGACATCCATTGAAAAATTGGAAGCACTGAAGGGTTGTTTTGTCCTAGTTTGGGGCTCGTCAGCAGTACACACCTGCGATCCTGTACGTGGGACGCGAACCCAGAACCTTCGGTCTAGTGCACGAACGCTTAATCACTAGAACACTGAACCGGCATCCATTCGGATATTATTTGAAGTATTCACGTCATATACCTACATTTTATTCAATTTCTTTCCTTAAATGTAATGAAAACTTTTAATATAAAGTATGATATTTAAATCTATATAAAAATGAAGAGTGTGTGATAGTGGTTGATTTATTTAAAAGTTAATCGAATAATTGTTGTTTCATTTTGATATACTGTTCTCCTATAAGTTGCAATTAAAAGGATTAAATATTTTCTGTTAAGATGAACTTGACAAAATTCAAATTCATTTAATTCAATCTCATTTTAATCTCACTGCTTTTCTACACACATCAGATCTTTCATTCGAACTGCTTTTAAAACCAATATCTATTCTACTGATTTATATATGTTTCACAATCTACTTTAGTCATTCCTTTATAGATAAATTTATAAATAATAGTAACATATTAGATTATTTTTTCTGTGTACAAAATAAACAACAATCAACCGTTTCACGAATCAATTGAAGTTCAAATAAAACAACACAAAGAAAACTGTTCCCAGTAGTAGTAGTAGTGAACAGAACACGGGTGGGGACAATCGATTGTATTTAACGCCAAATTACAGGAATTGTTAATAAAATCTAATAATCATATAGTAAATGCTTAGTTTGCAAAATGTCCACCAATTGTCTCAAAATGAATCAGACTTCATTGTTCTTGCATTTTCATACAAATTTCATCCTGTTTGCATTTTTTACTGTTCGATCCTCATGTCTCTCTGCTTCCAGACCTTCTGTTCACGACTAACATCATAGACTACTTATGTCAAGTATCACACACCACAGTAGTAGTATACAATATTCAATAGACATTTCTAAAATAAATAACGGTGACACGGTTTTTAAATGAATAGTTAAATGTAATTTTATACCCATTTAATAAATATGCATTGTTTATCCAAATAAAACTTATTTACTTCTTAATATAATTTTTGTAAATCACTGATGACTATTTGAATTAGAATTGAAATATTCAGTAAGGATTTTTATTCACTAGGCATAAATTTTAAAGACTAAATCTATATAATAATAAGAAACATATTTGATTATATTAAGTTACTCAATTTATTTGATAGTAGTGTCTTACTGTCACAATAACGATAGACTTAATTTCATATACTCGTCCTAAAGATTTGCTTTGCTGAGAAATAAATAACATAAGAATTTTCATCGACAAACATATGATGGAGAAGAAAACAAGGACAAAGATACCCACCGTCCATAAGAAGGTACTATTCATAAAACTACAATTCATAAATGACATCATTGAAGAAATCTTGACTCAGAAACTAAGAAGAGCTATACAAAAAACATTTAATGCTGCCAGATTAAATGCCATCTTCTACAACTATCCCAAAATAAGAACAGCCAACAAAGACAGACTGCCCGAATTTGCCAAATCTATGTGTATCTATCGTTTCAACTGCTCCTGTGGAGCCAGTTATATTGGGCGTACAATTTGGCAAGTCCATCATCGCATTACTGAATATCATCCGTCGTGGTTAAACAAAGGACAGGTAAAAGTGTTTAAAAGTTCTATTCTCTCTCACTTGGTTGACACAGGTCATCAAGTCGAATTAAATAAAGCTTTTAAGAAGTATATTTGTTACCAGTTGTACTAAGTAACTACCAACTGATCAAAAATCAATTCTATAGAAAGGTTTTTAAAAGGTCTAATGTTTTCTCACTCTGTATTCAGCTCAATTTACAATAGACTAAACAAATTTAAAAGTTTGTACGATGATTATAAACCTATTAACTGATTATCTATTAGATTATATGGTAATTAGCACTTATTTCATGACTAAATTTTAAATATTTTTTCTGAAGTAAAATTAACATGATATTTTCAGAAATATTTCTCATCATTTTCATTTCATTGACAGGCTTCCACTTCATCTGAAAGATGATAGCTCAAATTATTTCAGTTCTGTATTGAAAATCCACTTGGAATTTATTTACCAAATCAACATCTGGCAATGATGATGATGATAAGGATATAGAATGTGCTGGTCAACAGATAATGTATTCATTTCCTTTCTGTATAGCATTATATATATATATATATATATATATATATATATATATATATATATATATAGATAGATTGTTTTCTAATTATTCTCTAATTTAATATATCGAGGATTATTTAGTTTATTTTTTAATAAATTCATCTACCTACCTACCTACCTGCATACTTACTTAATTTAACATGGATCATTTGATAATGAACACGTTCACTAGTAAAGATCATTCAATCATTATCTATATGTGTATATTGATCATTTCGTCTCAATCAACCAGTATATCCATTCTAGTCATTTACACACACTTCTTTTTTTTTTTAAATCAATAATGCAGATATAATACATTTATGTATTCTTTTCTCTCTTCATATTGTTATTATATTTTTTTCAACATAGAATTTTGATAGTTTATTGATAAATTTGAAAAAACAAACAAAAATAATGAAACAATATTACACACAAAAAAAGGGGAAAACAAACAAACAAAAACTATGCTCATTGTTTTCCATTGAAATTGGATCCGACTTATTGATTAAGAACTATTGATGTTCTACACACTATTAAACATCCATCTATTTATATATATATATATAACTTCTTTTCTAACAAGATTTTTCTACCTATGCAACAATAAATATAGAAATATAAGCTGTATAATTACTCGCTAACCTTATATAGATAGATTGTGTTTTTTCTTTGTTCTCTATATATAGTAATCGTATTAAAAGAATAATTATTTATTTTGTTGATTGATTTATATAAATGAAAAGATTTATGAGTGTAGGTTGATATTATTTAGAGAATCATTCAAAGTGATGTAGAGCATTCGATATATTTATATTGTATCTTAGTATTCAAATGTCTTAAGATTGGTTCATTCACGACACAATAAATAAATTGCATTGAAAAGCTTAAGAGTTTGTGATGAATATGATACTTTTTAATAAATGAGTTTTGATAAAATAAAAATTCATGAAGTTAACATCACTAGTATAAGGGTTGTGGAGATTATTAAGTTTTTGATTGAGATCATGAACCGATTGATGTTAGACCACCGTTGGAAACCTGGAAGCACTTTACGGCCGCATCGTCTTATTGTGGGACTCCTCAGCAGTGCGCATGATCTCAATCAAAAACTTCATAATCTCCACAACCCCTATACTAGTAATCAACATGTGCTCACTATTGACTAGCTTCGTGAGGGAATTCTCGGAGTTCTAGTGAGAAGCCGTGACCAGTGGAGCTAATCCATGTCGGGTAGAGACGAGTATCTATCTTAGTATAATGGAAGATGGTCGCGCAAGTTCATGGATTGGTTGATGTTAGACACTATCACCATTGGATGCCGACTTAGTGGTCCAGTAGTATAGGCGTTCGCGCACAAGACCGAGGACCATGGGTTCGAATCCCGCGAGCGGGATCGTCGATGCGCACTGCTGAAGAGACCCCTAATATGACCAAACGGTCGTCCAGTGCTTCCAGGTTTCCAAAGATGATCTAAAATCAATCGGTTTATGATCTCAACCAAAAAATTTAACATCAGTTATTTCGCTGTATAATTAATTGATTGTCTAATGTTTACAATTATAGTTATCTCACTGCAAATATCATTGAACTTTATAAGTCATGATATCTTACTGAAACATTGGAAATTCATTTAATCGAAATTAGAATGACATAAAAGTGTGGAATAAAAGTTGATTCATAAATTTAGTAAAACTGATTTTCACAGGTGGAAAAAATCAAAATAAAAGATGTCTAAGAATTCCATTGAGTTTTTATCGATCAATCGTCTTTTATAGAATAAATAGGTATTTACTAACGGTGGAATCCAAGACAAGCATTTCAATATATTTAAAACTATGATGGATATACATACATGTCAATGTTGATGTTTATATTAAAGGTATAACCCAATATCTCTCAATTAGAAAGCCAATAATTTATCCACTGAGCTACTGGTACCAGCCAAATGGATGTGTTGGTTATATCGTTATTAGTAAGGGTTTGAATCATTCCACTGTTAGTATTCATAGTTAGTCTCTGTTGGCATATGTAAATTTCATGTGAACTACTTCTATGTAACAAGTTTCGTCTCATATTCCGCTGCTAGCTTCAATTCATCTTTTCTTTTAAAACATATAATGAGAATAGATGAATCAAGGCAGTTTGCACAAGATTTGCGTATGCCAGAAAAGACTAATCTAAATTCAGTCCTGAATATCAAAAACAGGATAACCTTAACTTTTAATCATGATTATATTAGTTACATTTATTTCATTCTTTATCAATAGGTAATTATATAATTAGTATGAAGTAAATACCGATTGATAGACAATAACCAATTTATTTAATTAAACATATAATTATGTCTCTTAATCACGATAAATTGTGCGATTCCCTTGAAATTTTTATTCAAACAAATTTGATAACGAATAACTCACTCACATGAAAACCTGATATTATCGTGCTGAAGAAGAACACTAGTGGGACAATCGAATGTATCTAACACATAGTTACAGGACTTGTTAATAAAATCTAACAATCATTTAGTAAATGCTTAATTTGCAAAGTGTCCACCAATTGTCTCAAAATGAAGCAGACTTCATTGTTCTTACATTTTAACATAAATTGCATCCTGTCTCCATTCTTTACTGTTCGATCGTCTTGTCTCTCTGTTTCCAGGCCTTCTGTTCACGACTAACACCATATACTACTTATGTCAATATAAGTAGCACACACCACATTATTTTTAGGCAAGCGTCAACAATGTATATATATTATAATAATTGATAAACGTCCATAAAATCGTCCACTTTTCACTAAATGATTAATATAATATTTCATATCATCCAAATACACTTTCTACCTATTTATCATTAAATGAAATTAGTCGAACTGTTTCAATCAGCCTAAATTATGAGAACAATTTTGTACGTATTTCTTTGAATGACAACCATGTTGATTCTGTCAGGAATTACCAAGATAACTTTGTAAATTATATTTTGTGTTATTATTTTATATAAATAGTAATTTAAGATAATAAAAAAATTAATAGTTTATTGATTAATAAAATATAATGATCTACTCCTAAACATAACCAATCGATAATGTAAAGACAACAAAAGAAGCAAACGCTAATGAATGATTAATGAGTTCCATTTTATCATTATATTGTTTTAGTATATTGAAAAAATAGTCTCCTATTTTGATATTATTTCTAAACTTTTGCCCTCACAATGGACATATAAAGCATAATGTGAAAAAATATTTATCTTATAATAAGTGATTAATCATTTTATTCAATATAACTATCATTTGCAATGTAACTTATTAACTTAATATCACTATTCATTTTTTTACTTACTTTACTTACGCCTGTTACTCCCAATGGAGCATAGGTCACCGACCAGCATTCTCTAACCCACACTGTTCTGGGCCTTCGTTTCTAATTCCATTCAATTCTTGTTCATTTTTCTCATGTCTATCTACATTTATCGGCGGAATGTGTTCTTTGATTCTCCTCTTTTCCTTTGGCCTGGAGTCCCTCCATGGGCTACTACCGTTCCAAGCCCGGATAAAGGAGGAGGGTTCTGCATGGGGTTAGCAACCCTATCCCGTAGAAAACTAACTCTCTAAAAAAAACGCTAATCAGAAAAATCAATATCCATTACTATAATTATATTTATTAAAATTATTTTCATTAAAGAATAAATGAATATAAAGTTAGAATAGATAACAGTTGATTTAGTGAAGATTGTAAGTTTTTATTATCATAAATTCTCTTCTATTTTTTTGATTTAATTTAAAAAGATCCATATTCCATAGAATATAGGTTGATTAAAAAGTTGGAAAGAAGAGCTAGTTATTTTCTCTTTTAAGTATATGCATATCCATGATGTAGTGCTTACAAACATATCCTTTCCTTTACCTTCGGATATTTGGCAGTAAACTTGTATAATTCTTTTTCATGTTATCATTCACTTTTCAAAGGAGTATTTAAATTGTTTATTGATATTAAATCATTTCAAATATACTGATCTTGTTCCATTTCATTTGTAAGTATTATAAATTGGTCATTTATGTAGAAAGAAGGTGTTTATCGATAAAGTTCCCTTTCTTTTTTAATATATATATATATATATATATACGAGTCTGAATTTATATGCAACTCATAGTCAGAATATTTTTACTACCTTAAACTTTGTAAAAGTATTAACATTGTTAGAAAACAAAAGAAACACTTCAAAACATGATAACATGGTTTGATTTTACAGTCATTAAATAGATAAGAAAACAGATCAGGCAACTAATAAATTTGATTTTCATCACTTATCTTAAATGTATTTGTCTAAATAATAATCAATGAATTGAAATATTCTGAATAATTCAAGTTGAATATATTTTTGATTGAGATCATGAACCGATTGATGTTAGACCACCACAATCTCCACAACCCCTATACTAGTAATCAACATGTGCTCACTAGTGACTAGCTTCGTGAGGGAATTCTCGGAGTTCTAGTGAGAAGCCGTGACCAGTGGAGCTAATCCTTGTCGGGTAGAGACAAGTATCTACCTCAGTACAACGGAAGTTGGTCGCGCAATTTCGTGAATTGGTTGATGTTAGACACTATCACCATTGGATGCCGGCTCAGTGGTCCAGTTGGTTAAGCGTTCGCGCGCGAGACCGAAGGCCCTGGATTCGAATCCCGCTCGCGGGATCGTGAATGTGCACTGCTGAGGAGTCCCACGATGGGACGAAACGGCCGTCCAGTTCTTCGAGGTTTTCAATTGTGATGGTCTAACATCAATTGGTTCAAGATCTCAATCAAAAACTTAACAATCTCCACAACTCCTATACTTGAATATATTTTTCAGTAATATTATAACCTAATGAATGTTTTCATTTAGATATAATTGAAACATCATGATACAACATTTTGGAATTAAGAAAGATTTATGAGAAGTAATATATTATAAATTAGGTGAGTTAACCGCAGTCAACTGTTATTGGTTGGTTGGTTGAACATGTAGTACTGAGTATTAGATCGATTTATTTCATCATAGTAAGTTTTGTCGGATGTAAGATCCTCAATTTTTTAAAATAGGATTTCTTTCTTTCAGGTGATTAGTCTCTACATTAAAATTAAACGTTTTGCAAAATGGGTAATTAAGTAACTGACAGATTACAATAGTAATTTATAAAATCAAGTGTTGAAACGATGGAAAGAGAGACAATAAGTTTTATCACTTCTAAATATAGATCAGGTTTCAATATATCTGATCTTTACTGACTTTGAGGTAGTCTTTAATTTTCTGAGGAAATTTGTAAAAAAAAAACAATATACGTCTAGTATTTTAAGGTGACCGGAGTTGACAAAATGCTTGTAAAGTAAACTAATAACTTTATTACTGTGATTTAGATAATTATGAATTATGAATTTTGAGAGAGCACAGTTTGTGAGGTCAGTATACAGCTTTTTTAGAAAGCATCTAAAAGATACACTTCGAGGTTGTTAAATCCTCCAGTTTATCCTTGATAAATCTGAGAACCAAATATCTATTGGAGAAGACAATTCAAAGTCCATTCGAATAGAATATTTTTTCAGACATCTGAACAGTTAATTTTCCGGAAATATTTCCTATGATATCCCTTTTAAATTTGATGTTCAAGGACGTGATTTTTTCAGTACTTCAAGCTTTCTTTAGTTTCATTCAAGAGAATTTGAAAAGGTTGTTATT